AATCAAATTTTGTTCACTATAAGGTGTGACTAGTTCCAATGCTTTTAAAACATAAACAATTTGAAAAGATAGTACAATTGTTTTTAGTTCACACAATTGGTCAAACACTTGGAGTGCAAGGCACTAAAAGTGAATTCTACTATGAGAGTAAAGTTCTCAAGTGTTCTATTACAATCAAGGGTTGTAACAAGCTTAAAAAATAATCCAGCACTACTCAAATTAGAATATGATTAACACAATTGTTTTGCACTTAAAACTCATAATTTAAGCAATATAAACGTAAAGAAAGAGACAACAATTTGTTGAGGTAGTTCCACCGTTGTCCTCACTCAGGGTACGTCTGCCATCAATTCTAACAATATAATTGAGACTTGTATATAGATAGATATAACTTGTTGGTAAATGTTTACACAAGAAGCAAATAGAGATCAAAACGATCAAACACAATTTGTTGATGTAAAACCTATTCCTTCTCGTCCCTTGATTCAAGTTAAATCAAGTCCTTCGAACGCAGTGAGTAAACCTTCGACTACGGCACGCCCTTTGAACAACCCCACGGTCTTAAAATCTTGTCCAGATGATTTCAGTCACCCATGTGTCGAACACGAATCTTCCACTCACAATCCTCTGGTTACCGCTACTAAACTGACAGAACCACCCGTTCTTCGATTACCTTCGCTCGGATGAATCTGTGATGGACTGATTCGTGCAAAAAACCCCCAAAATCCAAGATTCTTGGAGGAAAAAACCCTAACGGTTTTATTCAAGAAAAACCTACTGATTACTCAACCCAAATCAGATTACACCAATCCTAAATTTTGACGTTATCATCTCGAGCAAGCAGAATGCACAACAAAAATGATTATGTGTAGTTGTTGAGAAAATGATATGAAGAGGATGAGAACAAGTCAGTATGTTATTTTCACTTTTCTTTTTTTTCTAAGTGTTTTGAAAGGAAGAGCAAAACTCACTTTATATACAAGGCATAACTGATTAACAAATATAACAAACACCAAGACTGGTTCACATAACAGATTTTTGACTAAACATAACCGAGCGGTTTACCTATGCAGAAAGGAGGGTCGACCTGAGCTTACCAGAATTTCTAATTATGCAAAAAATAGAACCTTGCATCGATGCAAAGCATGCAGATTTCAGCAAATTGAAATGGACACAGTATGAGTCGATCCGGAGGGTCGATGCAAGCCCTCCTGAGAGTAGACCATTAAAAAAACTATTTGTATGAGTCAACTAGAGCTAGCTTTGAGTTGACTCAAAGCCTTCAAATATGAAAAAAATGCATATTTTCAAGTATCAAGTCATTTTTCAGGAACTCTATAACATAGTAAGCTTGACAAGCTTGACCAACCCTACATGAAGCATGAATTTAGCCATTTCTATATGTATCAATAATGTTTTTGACGAGTGTTTGACTTACGAGGGATAAGACATGCATATGAGACACGATGATACCATCCAAGGTACATTTTTCTATCAATCTAAGTTTTGATATCATTGATACAAGTGAAGCTACCTATGAGGATTACCCTCACATCTCTCTCTTCTCCTCTTGTGTTTGGAGTCACTTGATCAACAACTAATGTCGTCCTTCTTTCTTTTATTCCCGATGATGGCTTCTATAGTCGTCTTTGGAAACACGTATCCCTAGCGGGGGATCATTTCTTCCTTGGTGATTCATCTCACTTCTTATGGCCTTTCTTTTTATCACAATCCTCATTTTGGTCACTGTCTTGGGTTTATCGGGTAAGTCACCCTTTCTTGATCACTCTACAAATGCATGCTTCGAGTATGTTGTAAAATTGAAAAGTTCAATCACACTAAATTTGATGTGTAGAGACAAGGAACATTGACCACCAAAATAAATGGTCTTTAGCCAAAATAATTCTTTATGCAATAAAAAACAATTTAACTTGGCATAAGAAGATAAAAGACATCAAGCGCAATAACTTGTTTATCCAATTCAATCAAACGATCTACTTTGGAGAAGAGAGCAACTCCTCGATTCTTTATAATTCTCATAGCTGTCACCAAATATTACAAATGAGTTACAAAAATATAGTTACCCTAATTTCCAAGAACAAACTTTATTTTTTACCCAAGTATTTTCCAATTTTTGCAACTTTTTATATATGAACCACGCAAGTCCAATGTGTTTATAAATGTTTCTCACCCCCTTAGATATCTTCAAGAATTTTCCGAATTTCAAGAATACATTCTTAGGAATTTACTCTTACCCCTCTAAGATTAATAATAGGATTCTCAAACCCTTCTTTTTATCTTCAGCTCTAAAGTTGTGAAGGTTGTTTAAGACAAGATTGATATATATATATATATATATATATATATATATATATATATATATATATATATATATATATATATATATATATATATATATATATATATATATATATATATATATATATATATATATATATATATATATATATATATTTATAATTGTTGAAACTCAACATATTCATAACAAGCCTAAAACATAACTCATTTATAAACGAATCCATGAACCAAAACAAGGAAGCTCAATACGCAGAAACGAGGAAATTAGACCAGAGCTTTGAAAGACCGAACCACCAGTCACACCTAGATCCAGTGTTGTTCCACCTTTGTCAGCCTCTTTGTCTCCCATCGTGTCGGCTCTGTCATTAGCCACACTCTGCACCGCCGCGCCATCCTCTTTTGTGGTTATGTCGTCTTTGTTGACTTAGTTGATTTCTTATTTTTGAAATCGTTAAACATGTTTTCTTTCTTTTTATTATTTAAGATTTTAGCGCATATTTCAACAAAATGGATGCATTCATCGATAATGTGACAACGATCTTTGTAAAAACCAAAATATTTTGATTTGTCTATTCTAGATGACTCGGGATAAAGATTCTTGATCACAAATTATAGTCATTTTGATGTTTTCAAATTTTTAAGTATAAAATGATATATATATTTTTTAATCTCTAATTTTTATTTAAAGTTGCTAAAAAAAATTATTTAGTGACATTAACACTATTATGCTATCACATTTTCTTATGAAAACTAATAGTATATAATTATAGGGTTGTCGGTAGGGATGGCAACGGGGCGGGGTCAACTATACCCGCACATGCACACGCCTCCATGGAACACACTGCCTTCCGCCCCCAAATCCAATTAAGGGTAAAAATTTATCGCTCAGACCCGTCCTCAGTGGAGAACGGGTGCACCTGCCCCGCCCCCACCTGCAAAATAATTAATTTTTTAAATTTATAATAAAAATTAATAATTTAATTAAAAAATTAATTATTTTAATAAACTAATTAATTATTTAATTAAAAATTTAATTAATAAATAAATATTAACTTAATTAATTTATTTATTTTAATTGCAATAAGGTTATTAATAATTTAATTAAAAATATAATTAATAAATAAATATTAAAATAAGTAAAATAAGAGAATTAAACTAGAATGTATTATTAGGGGCGGGGCGGAGGCGGGGGCGGGCGGGTCTTAGTGTCTCCCTGCACCCGCATCCGTAGTTAAGAACCGGAGTTTTCCCGCACTCGCATCCAATTAAATCGGATTTTCTCCATTAATTTTTGAGCGGACCCGAATTTGTTTGTCATCCTCAATTGTCGGGTAACTCAACTTGTATGTTTTTTTTTTTTTTAAGTTAATGAATATAATCAGTTGATTTATGATTGAATCATTCACGCAAAAATTTATTTATATTTATATACATTAATGTAAATAAATTATTAATATTTATAAAATCACTATTCCACTAATCAAAATTATTGTGCTTGTACTTTTAAAAAAAGCACAATTTTCTATACAATACAGATAAAATTAAAATATAAAAGAATAACACAATAATTTTTTTTATATAACTTACAATTTTTATAAGAAAAAATTATACTATGTTAATCATAAATTTTATACGGGAAAATTTACAGATTCATTCAAATATATTTCTTCTTTGCAGATTCATTCAAATATATTTCTTCGTTACATATAATGATACGAAAAATATTTGCATGGATACATATTTAAATATATATTTTTAAAAACATCTAATAAGAAGAGAGAGAATTTAAATTTTATTTAAAATTTAATTTATTTTTAATTAGATTTATGAGGTTGTGATTATGAAGGAGAGAAAAAAGTTTTTTTTTTATTTTTTAATTAATAAAAAAATTATAATAGGTTGTTTGTAAAACTATTACTTGTGGTTGTTTCCATTTAAAATATTTCCTAATACAACTATATAAACTCTTAACAACGTATTTAAAATGTTATTTTTGTTGCGGTAAATAAATTTTAAATTGCCTATGTATGTTTATAATTATTGTTCACTTTTTTACACTTTTGAATTTAAATTTTGGACGAATACTTCTTAAATATCGAGACTCTAGATAGTACCAAAAAATGTGAATGAAAATTTTACAACTTAATCAACAATAACGCCTGTTTTAATAGGCAATTTTAGGTTTTAGTAGACAGTATAAAAAATGTGGATTAAAATTTTCAAGATGATCATTTTTTAAACAAAGGTTTTTGAAAAATTAAAAATAAAATATGAAATATTTAAGAGGTCAACAAAAATATTTAACCCTAATAACTAATAAGATTAATTGGATTTTGTGTATGACTCGTAATAATTTAACCGTGAACATGAATTCTAAGTGAATTTGTCATTATTAAATACTCAGGCTTTCAGTTAAAATAAAAGAAACTCTTAGGTAGTTTCATGTTGGTCTTATATCATGTGATTGATAAACCAAAATTGCTTGTGAGGTTGCTAAATTAATAAAAGTAGCGAGGAACTGAAATTCATACAAAAATACTCTGTTTTTGATTAATGATTCACAATAACACAAACTAAGCTTTCCTCGAATAATTCAGACAAGAGAATTGGACACAAGACGAAAATTGCTTTATTTGAATCCCAAATTTCCACATCTTGCATCATATTCCAGTCTCTTTTTTTTATCGCATATTACCCTCTCGCAAGACATCAATCATATTGTATATTCTCTTAGGATCCTTTGCTTCAATCTGCATACATCAAATATAATTTTAGTAAGAGATAAATAGTTATACACCAGTGGAAATAGAGCAAATTGTCTAAAATTTTAAGCACCTTCTTAGCAAGAAATAGTACAGCATCAACAGTGCCCTCAGCGTATATTGATCTACCACAAACATTATGTTGAAATTCAAACGAAACTCTGCAATGATTTGATGAAGAAACAATACACAATAAAGAAAAATTTAGTTAGTGACAGGAAGAAGTGTGTCAAAACATAGAATCAAAGAAGAAAATGAAAATTGTTAATTCTTACGTTTTGTCTGGTGACTCCAAATGATACATATGAAAGGCATGACCAGACAAATACTCCTCTGGAACTCCCACCATTTCAACTTGTTGCTTAGGGTCCCTGATCAATTGTATCTAACAAAATTCATGGAAAGAAGGGGGAAACTCCAGTAAGAATTTGTGGATCTTTTAATATAGACAAAAATGAAAATCAATTTGAGGAGTTTGGTAACAGTCAAGATGAATGGGAAACTACGTTGTCCCAAAATGAACCGTGCAACGTGATCTAACGCACCTGATCCATATCGAAAGACGCCCCCAGTTTATCGAAGCAAGATATCACAGCCTTGGCAGTTCCAGATGCGTCAACTTTGTTTGCTTGATGAGACTCTAATACCTACAATCTTGGAAGAATGCATCAGATTTTAATATTGCATTGAAAAGAAGCTTTATTAAAGGATGAGAACCAAAAAAATTGAAGAAATCATGAAACCTAATGTTACTTTTACCAACATGAAACCTAATGTTACTTCATTTTTTTTATACCAACATGCAATTTATCTTTCCAATCACAATCCACGGGACTGTACTCTCTAAAACAAGATACGCCAATATTATGTAAGTGATAGGCAATTTAATCAACCGATCTACTTAAACACGAGGTTGCAGACCTGACCAGGATAAAGCAAACCAGAACAACAAAATATCAAGATTATGCAAGTGACCAATAAAATTAACCAAGTGTATGCAGACCAGATACATTTTAGACTCAATCAATTATCCTCAAACTCACAACTCAATGCAACTCTACATGAAGTTATGCCAGACTACCCGAGTTTACACGCGACTTTATATGCGAGCTAACTTAATTTCGGTATTGAATGATGTGAGTTAACTTGAGTTTGACAACCATGCTTGCCTAGAACTCAATTCAAGTTTCAAGCAAAGTAAAGTCATTGTGTTTGAACAATCTGACAATCTGTTTTTTAGTTTCAGTAGGAATGTTATGAGTTACAGCTTATGGCAGACAAAAATGTCCCAAAGTGTAAATACAGCAAAGGGTAAGCAAAAGGTAAGAGATACCTGTAAGGAATACCCAGAAAAGGCTCCAGGAAATTGCTCTGCCATAATTTCCATAGCTGCAAGAAAAGCAACAACCTAGGGGAAAGAGTATAGCCACATAAGGATGACAAACTACATGAGTGTAAAAGACATGATAAACAGAAAATTGATCAAGGTTTTCAGAATTATGATTTACCTGCTTTCCCATTTGCGGGGATATGACAGCATAATTCTTTGCATCTTCAACTGTCTTATGCAGCAAATCCCTATCTCCACCGGTGGTTCCTATCACAAAGGGTACTCCGACCTTACTGTATAACTCTGCATTGCCTGCAAATGAGAATGAATTAATATATAGCACCAACACCATTAAAATTTTCATAAAATACTCCTAATCGAATATTTTATAACATCAAAAGTTCAAACACAATTCTATTTTTGAAAGTTCAAAAACGTGTACTGATCAATGAAATGGCCAAGTACAACCCGCATATTCTTTGGCGTAAAATACAATTATTTTTGTTATTTTTATTATAATAGTTTATAACTATTTGCATTGCAATTGTCAATACCAAAACTATTTTTTTTTTCTCTTTCTGACCTTTATTCCTCTCTCTTCTTATGTTATTCAAACTAATTTCTTTCTTATATTCGTATCTTTTTTCTTTTTGAATATATTCATCTATATATACTCGATTGAGACTTGCTATAAAAAAACTAAATTAGGTGGTTCTTGATGTAGTTTTATGTTATTATTATTACTATTATTGTATAATCAAATGCAATTTCTCCAGCTACCCATGGCCCCAACACAGTACAAATCTTTAAAACAAAGTGTCCACACTACAATGATCAAAATGCAACAAAGAGAAACCAACCAAAAAAGCTACACATTATCAGCACCAAATGAAATTCAGAATAACCAAGATGCAACACAATTCAAAAATATAATATCCTCATTGATACAGAATATTAGAATGCTATCATTATCATATATCAACACAATACTCATTGATACAGAATCTTTATTTTTAATAATCAATGGTACAAAATCATGTAATGCTATTATTATTATTATTATTATTATTTTGTATATCAACACAAAAGAGTAACAGAAAAAGCTATCATTGACTGTCAAGTTATTTATATTTCTCTCCAATGATAAGAAAACATGCTTCAAAATACTTCTACCTACCATTGACTGCATTTGGTAGTGTGTAGACCACAAATCAATAATAAAATTTGGATATTTGTCGACAATAGATTCAAGAAAACCCTCTCTATCAGAAAGACCGTTCACAAGAAACTCCCTTCAACTGACCTCAAAAGTCTGTCCTGATTCCTCTTCAACCCCAAACGACACAGGCACAATATTTAGTTCAGCACGTAATAGTGGCTACTCTAAAAAGCACCATGTAATGGACCACTTAACTTATTCAGTTTGTTAGGATAATACTACAAACACTAGTTCGGTATAATAGTTGCTACCCTAAAAAGCACCACGTAATGAACCACTTAACTGATTCGGTTTGCTAGGATAATACTACAAACACTAGTTCAGTTTAATAGTGGCTACCCTAAAAAGCACCGCATAATGGACCACTTAACGGATTAAAAGTCTTAAACCATGATTAATTAGCATTATGTGCATATGAAACCGACTGCTATCCAGCTGTCCATTCCACAAACCATAAGCCTTATAGTTTACGATAAATTAGAGCACATGATTTTTCTGTTTCATCACTTCTCATACAAAACAACTCCCTTCTGTCTCACACACAAATACTGTCCAATGGCTGTTAATCATGTAATCACTTTTTTAATATGTACATCTGTTATGGTAGCTTTTGCTGAAAATTTATACCAAGATATTGGTATCACTTGGGGAGACGGAAGAAGTAAGATTCTGAACAATGGTCAGCTTCTTATTTTGTATCTAGATAGAACCTCTGACTCTGGCTTTCAATCCAATAATCAATATTTTTATGGTAAGATTGACACACAAATCAAACTTGTACTTGGGAATTCATCTGGCACAGTCACGGCTTATTATGTGAGTTTAATCCATACTCAATCTAAAACAATACTGTAGTATTTTTATAAAACATGCCTAATATCTAATATTATACTTTTGTATCATGCATTGCAGCTACGTTCAGAAGGGTTATATTGGGATGAATTAGACTTTGAATTCCTGGGAAATTTAAGCGGTGATCCTTACATGGTTCATACCAACGTGTATACCAAAGGTAAAGGTGACAGAGAGGAACAATTTTATCTATGAGTTAATCCAACCGCGGATTTACATACATAACATGCTGTGTAAGTTTCTCAAATTCATATCACAATCTTAGTATACAAATGAGCTGTTAAAATTACATTATATCATAAGCTCTGCCACATGTGAGATCAGTGTTGCCGATGGCAGATGACGGTCCATGGCGGAGAGCCAAAATCCCGCCATACCGATCAATTTGCAATGTCTTTATAGCAGAAAAACCCGCAATATTGGTCAATATTTATCATTGTGGTGAGCTCAAAAATTGCCATGTATATCCGCCATAGTGGCCATGGCGCCGCTATTTGATAACACTACTGAGATTTCATAATTTATACTATAAAAGAAATGAATATTAAGTTATACTCCCTCTGTTTCAAAATGGTTGTTGTTTAAGGTTTTTGCACACTTATTAATGTGTTGGAAGTAGTGTACAAGGTAATAATTAAAGGACACAATTGGGAAAATAGCAATCATATCTAAATTGAAAAGTGAGAATGAGTCATTTTGAAACAAATTTTATTTGATAAACGACAGTCATTTTAAAAATGGAGGGAGTATATACATATCAACAATGATAAGAGAACATGCTTCAAAATAGTGATACCTACCATTGACTGCATTTGGTACAGTGTAGTCCACAACAATCAAATTTGGATATTTATCGAGAACAGATTGAAGAAAACCCTCTCTATCAGAAGGACCATTCACAAGAAACTCCCTTCCACCGATCTCAAAAGTCCGTCCTGATTCCTCTTCAACCCCAAACGATACCGGCACAACGTTCAGTCCAGCAGCTTCTGCTGCACTAATGACAGCTTTTCCCATTCTTCCAGTACATGAATTAACCTAACCCGAGTAAACAAAAATCAACAATCAGTGCTTCACATCCATAGTATTTTCCAGTAAGAGCTATCAACAACATTGTGTTAAATCATGAATTATGCGTTAAAAACAGATACACAAGTGTAGAATCGAAATTGAAGGTTAATTACCATTATTGGAAGTGCAGTGTTCTGAGTGGAAGGCTCGGATTTTTGGAGAAAAGTCTGAACCGGTGTAGCTGACATTGAGACTTTAGGGACGAAACGCAAAGTCTTATTCTGAGAAATGCGGTAATTTCTGTTCGAAGTGAGGTTATTGGAGAAGAATGTGAGGTTGTTGTGGTGTCTGTGAAAAACGTTGGTTGCGGGTTTGAATGTGAAAGTTGCCATGGAGAGATTGAGGTTAAAATTAGGGGTTTAGGGTTTTTGGAAGAAGCTGCTGTAGGTTTAGAAATGCAGAGTTTTTTAAGCTTTGGAACTCAATGATGATTTTCGATTCTGGCACGTGATCCTCGGGAGAGGTAAAGGTCTTGCACGTGATCGATCGCACCGTTGCTGATTGGACGTGTAGATGAATTAATTATGACTTTTTTTTCATTTAATTTTTATTATTTATTTATTAATATTTTCAATTGTTAGAAGGAGGTAGTAACACTGTTTGGTTTAAGTGAAACTTGAATTTTGGAAAACACCAAGAATATTCTTTACATTTTTAGATTCAGGGTGACTTTGAATTTTGGAAAAACCAAGATAATCATGCTTTGCGCAAACCTTGTAACAATATGCATGCATATTGTTTTTTCATTTATAAAGAGACGTGTAATTAATTGCTCTATGTCACATAGTGTATTTTTGTCTTTCAGCAAGATTAATGTTTTTCAAGATAGAGTACGAAAATGAGTTTGAGAGGAGAAGAGTAAAAATTTACTCATTGGCATTTTGTAGACGTTATTGCATCCAAAACGCTATTAATAAAGATCAAATCAATTTGTTTTATAGAACACTTGATTTCGTTTTTTATGTTTAGGGAGTAGATTAGTGAGAGTGTATCAACGTAATACATTAGCGTAATTAAATGACGACATACATGATGTGTACATATGTGATGTATTCAACCTTTCAGCCGACTAATTTAAAATGGACCAATTTCACCGTCCACTAGTGAGATTTGAATGAGTTTATTATTGTCTGGAATACTAAAGACACATCAATGCTTCTAAGACCTTTATTTATCGATGTATTTATATTCTGAGATAACTTCAAAAATAGTTCTCATACTATGTCATCCTTTATAATGTGAGGGGCATATCAGATTATCTTTTTGTTGAGTTTAATAATTTAGCATGCATGTTCCTTTTAATTTGGACTTCTTTTGTGTTTGAGTCAAATCATATTCAGATCGAACATATTCTCATGAACTCTTAGCTATATTATTTGATGATGGGTCTAAAAATCTTAAAATCTATAAAAATAAAAATAAAAATAATATAGATTTTTTTATATCAATGTGGTATCTCTTCTTCTAGACTTGTAGCCCGTGAATGAGTTAAAAGCTTATGAGTTTATATGAGTTGCTCATTGTACCTAATTCATGATGTGACACGTACCTCTATAGTTTGATGTACATGATTTAATAATGTGGCAATTATATTTTTGAATTGCATCAAGATTGCTAATTATGATCATCTTAAGTTTTGGGAAACCCCTATAAGTTTATCATGGTGTAACTATATAAAAATAAATTGATGCTCTATTTTGTCATGGTTTAAACATGACAAATATTTTATGAGGCCATGTGGACGGCTCTGCATATTATATGTTACATCGTTGAATTTTAATAATGTTAGTCTACGCATCATCAATCATTGATCTTTCATTTTCTTTTCTTTCAAAATGATAGTTTTTTTCTTCTATTTTTTGCATTTGTCTTTTATATTCACATTTATATTTAAATCATTATGGTTTATGTTTTGCCTCCACCTCATTCCCCCATTTTAAAAGTTCTTCTTATCTTTTAAAATGTCTCATTCTTTTGTCTATTTCCTTTTATTTTATTTAATAGAAATGAATGAGTTAAACATTATGGAAAATATTGTCTCTAAGCAAACTATTAACATAATAGATTAATTTATTAGTGCTTTGTTTGAAGAATATTGGTTTCAAATTTAATCTTCATTTTCTTCAAACGTGTATGATATCGATTTTTGAAGTAGAAATGATGACTTAGATTTTACACACACGCGCACACACACATGTATGTATGTAACATCCCATTTTTTATTAAATTATTTTAATTGAGTTATTTGTGAATTCTTTGAGATTTACATGTGTTTTATTTAATTATTATGTGTGAATAGATAAATAAGTGTGACAAGGGTGTGTGACCGTGAGGGAATAGTGTAGAGAGTCGTTAGAAGTTGATAGATTTTATTTAGAATTATTTTACTAATTAAAATAATGTTCTAGTTTTATTATTTAAATAAAATAACGAGATAAAGGGAAAATAAGAGCTTATAGAGATATTAAGGACAAGGTGGAAATTAAGGAAAAAGGTGGTGGTAAGGTAGGAATATCCTAATGAGGGAATTAAGTTTATATTTTAAAAAGAGAGTTAAGAGGAAAGAGTTTTACCAATACGTAAAAAAGTGAAAAGTGACAAAGAGGCAAGAAGAGAGAAAGAGTTAGGGTAAAGAAAAGAACAAAAGGAGAGATAGAGCTTTGGGAGAGGAAACCATAAATATTGTTTGCTTTTGCTGGAATACACAAGGTAAGGGGGAATAACATTAATAAAGGGTATATGCATGAGGAGTAGGGTAGAGGAGTCTTTAACCTCCATTAGGGTTTATTGATTTTATGAATCTATGATGAACATGATGATGGAAATCTGTTGTTTGTTAATTCTATTATATTTACTATGAGTAGTTGTGGATTATCGTTGCAATGTTATGTTTTTTATGTTTGATGATGAATTGAATGATTTAGGGTCTGATTTTATCTGTTTGACTCATGAAATATTAGGTGGATTCATGTTATTCAAGAGAGGTTTAGTATGTTGGTGTTATTAGAAGTTGAATTAGAGTGATGTAAGGTGTTGAATTATGGACTGGTATAAGGGTTAGAACTAGTTGCTGAGTACGTAATAGAGAAAATAATATTTTTTGGAAAAATAGACAATGACATTCGATTATCATAGGATGACAATCGATTGCACTAGTGCAATTTTTCAAAGAAAAAACTGTGACAATCAATTTTTGTTAGATGACAATCGATTGTCATGCCTAGAAAATTTAGGAGCGTAGTAATTTTGAGCCAATGGATTTTACCCAAGTGACAACTGATTATCATTGGGTGATTTTTGAAATTAATTAATTTAAATTGTAACTTTGATCCCCGACGGGTTTAGCCATAACTTTTGATCTGTATATCTAAGTGACGCGTCGTTTAAAGCGTTAGAAAGCTAACACGCAGAAATACCTCATGGTAGTGCTTGGTGAAATGTTTGAGTTGTAATCATTTACCTACTGTAGGGATGTTTGTGACAACTTGTATGATCGGTTAGTGAATCGTTGTGTTTATACCGAGATGTGTTTTTGTTTTTGTGGAGTGACATGAATAAATGCTTATGAGTTTATATTTGTTGAGTTAATGTTGTTTTTTTTCTTAGTGATGTTGTGACATGGATTGATTGTTGAGTATGATGAATGATGTTGTCGTGTGAATTGAGAGCGTGACAATGTCATTAGGTTTTGAGATGACATTTATTACTATTGTGTTGTTGCATTATGAATAATCATCTAACTGAAGAGATTGATTATAATACTTGAGTTGCATTGAACTATATGATGTTATGTATATGTGAATTGTTGCGGTATGGTAATTCAGATAAGGGATTAGTTGAGTTGTTAATGCATTTATGTTAGGATCAGAGAGTGGTCTTAACAAATTGATTTAATGGCATGTTCATGCATTCATGTTGAGTTGTGTCAAGAGGCAGATTGCTAGTTCAGAAAGGGGACCAGTGGCTTGTCCCAAGCTCAAAGAGAGGATTTGAAGCTCAGAGAGGGGGCTCATGGGTTCAGATATGAGGTCTGGTTCTTGAGTGAAATATTGTTGAGTTTGTACCACATGAATAGAGTTGCATCAATTTTCATTTTGAGTATGAGATTCATAATGAGGTGAATGCATATAATATTGGTGTTGTGTGTAATTGGTGTGTTATTTCTATGTGAATGAGTTATGGTTGATGATTTTGTGTGAGAATGTAATTGATATACTGTGTTTTGAGATTGTGTAGATTACATTATGTGTTGGTATCCTACCTTGCAGTATATGCCTATTATTATTAAATGTGATTTCTTTCCCTTTCTGTTTAAATGTTGCATTTACATGGGCATCGTGCACATACTAAAAAGTAGCATTCCTGAAGTAAGTAGAAGATAACACTTGGAGTTACTTCGTTAATTTATTGCTTTAACTAGTGGTGCCTTACTCTGATCATGTAACATTGGGTTGGGATAAACGCGTGAATTGATTCTTATGTCGTTTATGTTTGAATTCAAGACTGTTTATGTTGTTGAGATTTCTAAGTTTTTTTTAGTCGATTGTTACGAACTTTTTTTGCTTATGTTATGAAGTTAACGTTTATGAGACTAAATGTTACGAGTTGCAATATTGTTGTTAATTGCTTTAATAATGATTCTGCTGCGATGACACCTTAAACATCTGGACGAGTATGCGATGATAGGTTTTGAATGCCTTATTATATGAGTACGTGATACAAATCACGTGAGTTTGATATCATGTAGACATCCCAAGTATATATCAGATGAGCTGGATGTCGTGTAAACATCCTAAGTACAAATGTGTGTATTAAATTGTTCTTTTGTAACCCGTATTACGAAGCAGATTATGCATTTGTTGTGTGTGACACTATTTACCTTGAAAAATGGTAAATAATTACGTGTATCCAAAATACAGGTTACTTGCAGGATTAGCCAGTGAATCCTAGGATATAGTACCTAATAAACTTTCTTTTATCGATTTCTTTGTGTTTTAGGATGACAGACTTCGACTTGGTCGAAGGAAAGTGTTAAATTAATGTTATATTGAACACTTTAACTGTTGTAAGAAATGTAAAAAGTAAGATACCACTATTAGAAGCTTTAAAACAAAACAAAGACTTAAAATAAAATGAAGATGAAAGAAACAGAACGAAGTGTAAATTGAGTAAACTATAAAATTTGCATTAAAAGTAAAGTATGGTGTTTCATATGCTCTTACATTCTCTCAGTCATTCGCTCGTTTCTCTAATGTTTGATACTTTAAGTTTTTTAGTGAGATTTTTGTAATACAATGAACCACCCCTAATTCAACCTAATGAACTACTACGT